GCATTCCTCCACACAACATTCTTGTTTCCCAAGCAAAATCAAAACCCATATCAGAAATCACCTTTAGGACAAGGAAATCAAACACATTTTCCGAAACACAATACGAAAACAAGATCGATTATGTTCGAAATGTACCTGTTGTTGATGTAGGAGAGAAGAAATGAGAGGTTCGAGTTCGAAGTCACGAGGTTTTCCCCTTTGATTTGGAGAAACAACACAGAGATTCCTAGGAAAAAGGGGATTAATGTTCAATTCTCTAACATATTCCTATAATTAGTAAAATCCAACAACAAAAATGAGATATGTTTCACTATATTTGATCTTAGAAACCGAAGTCTCTCAATTTTGGACATTACTTTGCAAAGATCTCAACGTTCTTTCAGTTTGTTGTTTCGTACCATTTGGAATTCTAGAAGGGAAAAACAAATTTTGGTGTAATTTGCCCTTCACTATCTCACCCGATCTTACTTACGGATTCGAATCCAAACGCCGGATTGTTTTCATAATAATAAAATAATAATTATAATAAAAAAAAACAATGTATTACTATATTGTATGGTATCAAAATCGAAGATATTCATGTCAAAATATATATTTTGTTGGTCAAACACATAACTTTGCAGCTAAAAGTTTTATAGGAATATATATACATACATATTCTCTTCATATATCTTCTTGGTATTATTACTTCATGTGTTTTATAATGGATAAAAATCTCCAAAAAAAAAAACTGATTTCTCAATTTTAACAAAATAAAATCTAAATTTTATTTTTTATCAAATAAAACTCCAACTTCAGTTTTCAGTAAAAAAATTCCCGAATTTTATAATTTTTGTCATTTTTAAATTTGAATGATGATGTGGTGTAATCATCTTTGACACGTAATCATCCACATGTCCCGATATCGAAGTAATAGATTTAAAAATGACAAAAATTATAAAGTTCGAATTTATTTGACTAAAAAATGATTTTGAGGTTTTATTTCATAAAAAAAATAAAGTTTAGGTATTATTTTATGAAAATTGAGAAGTTAAGATATTTTTTGAGATTTTTCCTTTATAATAAAACTAGGTTTTAACCCGCGTGAATCGCACGGACCCTATAAATTTTTTAAAAAATATTATTAGTTTTAAAATTAAATATGTTATATTTTACTTTTAAATTTATAATACATACCTTAAATCGAAATGATAAATAATTTTTAATAATATTGAGATAACAGTATCTTTTATTTTCAAAAAATGATCGCGAATAACGTATATATTTATATTTTCGTGTGTTATAATATAAAATTAAAGGTCATAACCTAATTTGGGAAACTCAACCGGTGAAAAAGATGCAAAACGTCTGTCTGACCTCGACTTTGAGCCTCAAGTTGGGGAGGAGAGCGCATATTCTAATCACATGACTTGCTTCCGGATCTGAAATTAGTTTGAACTCGGTGTAAGATACCCGGTTATTATAAAAATATTAAGGGGTAGAATAATATTCTTAGAAAGAAGTTTTTTTTAAAAATAAAATATTAATTTTTTAACGTTTAAAAAGAAGAATAAAAAAAGTTTCATATTGTAAAATAAAAAAAGATGAAGAAAATAAGCATTAGGTTGATTGGACACCGTGAACACATTATCACCATTTTATAGTTCAGAATTTTTTAAATTATGATTGGTACATCAACAAAAGTAAAACAATTAAAGAAAGTGACACTAACCACATCTGAACTATGATGGTCTGATCTTACTGATATTTCATTTAGAATATGTCCGTCAAAACAATCTAATAAATCTCTAAAAGATCTTAAAATAAAAACCCAATAATAACTATGTAGATTAAAATTAAAGTTCTCGTGTTGAGTTTGTTTGATTCCTTCATAGCTGTTTTCACAACTGCACTTAGATCGAATTCATGTTCAATATTCTTGATGAAGACTTTTTCTTCCATGATTATCGGGTAGTTATCCTCGAGATTTGTCACAACATCGAAGCCTTTACTTTTTTTTTATTTCCCCCTCATCATGAAGAGCAGAACCACCACAATAATTGATACAAATACAACCATGACAAAACCTATTAGAATCAATATCGTCCTTTATGAAATCTTTTGATTATATTTCAAGTGTTAAAGACCATCAGGATATCTATATAAAGTGCTCAATAGTCCCCCGCAACGCCCTCTGTTTCCAGAAAGGCTTGAGTTTGGAGACTTTTGGAATGGAACAAAGATTGGAACTTGACCATCTAAGAGGTTAATATAGAAATTAACCTCGATCAAGCTTAACATGCCTTTGAGTATGAAATCTTTTGATTATATTTCAAGTGTTAAAGACCATCAGGATATCTATATAAAGTGCTCAATAGTCCCCCGCAACGCCCTCTGTTTCCAGAAAGGCTTGAGTTTGGAGACTTTTGGAATGGAACAAAGATTGGAACTTGACCATCTAAGAGGTTAATATAGAAATTAACCTCGATCAAGCTTAACATGCCTTTGAGCAAATATGTTATGGAACCCGTGAGCAAGTTATTAGAGACGTATAAATAAACCAACTTATCGAGCTTCCTTAGCTCAAGAGATTGGTCAGATGAGGAATTTACCGATAGCCCTCAGCTTGAGTTTCATTCATCTCCATGAATCGCTACATTTATACTTATTCGCTGAAATATACATGTACTTTATATATTCTATCAAATAAGCCCCTAAACACAAACGCCAAAAAAATACGATAAAAAATCTGTCTAAACCCAATCCAACCGATATATATCCGAACTGAATCGAAATGATTAAAATAATATATTATATTATAAAAAATATGTTTAAACCCAATCTAACCGATATATATTCGAACTGAATCGAACTGATTAAAATAATATATCATATTAGATATGAATATCTCAAATCCAAAATAACCGAACCCAAAATAATATATCGTTTTACAGTTATTTCGGGTTCGGTTATTTCAGTCATTATATTATGCTTTTCTAAACTAAGATTTGGTCATTTTTTTAAAAATATTAAAACTATAATTATTTCATATTTGTGTACTACATTTATATATATATTATCACAATAATAATAATAATAATAATAATAATAATAATAATAATAATAATAATAATAATAATAATAATAATAATAATAATAATAATAATAATAATAATAATAATAATAATAATAATAATTCAACAACCCGTATAAAATCGATTCACATTTAATTTAAACAAATATGAGTTGAAATATCATTTAGTTTAGTTTTTCATTTACTTCGACCTATATTTTATTAAATTTGGTTCTTATTATTCCTATCATCCCAATTTGTTTTATTAGATTGTACACTACTCATCCTAAGATTTTCAATTATGTGATGAAGGAATTGAATTAATCCTCATATGTCAAAGATCTATCATTGTCTCGTACAAACATTCATGATAAAAGTTGGAGGTTCATATAAAATGTTACTTACCAAACTCAGATTGCCAATATTAGGACTCGTCTCGGATGACTTTTTACTCGAATTATATATTTCAAGACTCAATTCGATAAATTACTGAAGAATCTTCAAAATAAAATTCCAATGACAATTAGCGGAGCCTTCCCCAACCAAACTCATATTTCACATTACATCCAATTAAAACTTTAATAGTTTCTATAGTTTTCGTTAGACCAATTTCAAATTCATAAGAATTAATGCAAATGTCAATAGAAAAACTATTTATCATATCCTGACGATATTTGTCCAAATATAAAACATTAATAGTTATACAATTGAATTCATGTATTTATTTGATTTTTTTAATTTGATATATATTTTTTGTTAATATTATAAAGACTTTGATTCTCCAAATAATAAATAACAAAAAAACTTACCTTATTGATATTATATTAGAAAAAATAACTATTTTAAAAATAATTTTATTTGAGAAGGTCAATTATTTTTATAAGCAAACTAAATAAAAATAAAATAAAATGGACAAATATATTAAGATGTTAATATAAATTATTATATGGTCGAATAAAAAATGAATACTCAAATATTTTCTACGTAAATGAATGACTACAACATAATTTTTTATTAGACCATTTGCTTATCATTTCGGTACAGTAAACGAATATTACAATGAAACTGGTCAAATGTAAAAAATTTAAACCGGTATCATTAATCGATTCTCTATACTTATTTCTCTATCCAAATTTGTATAACTTTTCAAATTTACGACTGAATGTAAACTGGTTAAATTCTATGTTTTCATTAACTTTTTTGTTTTAACGTTTTCGTGTTTATTTAATAAATAGAGTATTTAATGATAATTCTTGGGTTTTGAAAAATATGAAACACAAATAGAAAGCTTTTGGTAAAACCGGCCAGTTTATTCGTTAACCGGATTTTACACACTCATATAATTTCTCTGTTATAGCAATCTTTTTTTACTTCATGTTTTCAACAAAGAATATATATATATATATATAAATCAATCTATCGCTATCATATATCATATGTACATATGTTTCGCTCGATACACAAAAATAAACAACCGAATATCCATTTGAAATATATAATAATCAAATTTTTTTATTTATATCTATACTTACTTTATATTCACACAACTAATTTGATTTTAAAAAATATATTCCTTTTTAGCTCAAACTCAAAACGAATATATATTTTCATATATTTTTCGATCCGATTTTTTTTTAATCCCTAAATCAAACATTTAACCACCACCGACTAAATATGTAACGTGTACTCTCATAAACCGCTCATATGTTTAATGACTTATCGTATTATATATATATATATATATATATATATATATATAGAGTTCATAAAGAGTGCTTTTCCACGTCATAAAAAATATATATACAA